CACTTGACCCACATTTTCGGTCACGCTCATTAACATACCATCAACATGGCCGTCTCTATGCAACACCGCCGAACCCTGGACACACACCCAAACACAGGAAGAGGCGCTTATCTATTCATTCACTCCATCACCCAAGCGAGCTCTCTTTTCACAAGTAAAAACGCTTGGTTGTAATTGTTTGGGAGGGGGGTGGGGGGTCACGATGACTGAGTGGTCTGTGACATCACCTCAAAGCACAAAGGCCACAGGGTCAACTCCTGGACATCTCCCTCAGTCTGGGTGGGCTAATCCCTCTGGACTCCATCCTCAGGTTTCCCACGTCAACCCAACATCCGGGATTAACTTCTGAGGTTTGTTTATACAATTTTAAATACTTCAGTGTTAGAAACCATCGGTAAACTCTGGTCCATGATCCTCTCCTACATGTACGTCTGGGTCTGACCAATCAGAGAGCGGGGGAGGCGGGTGTTGTAGGTCGGTGTCGGTGACGTCAAGAGTTTGTGCTGAATTTGCTGGTTGTAGTTTGTCGGAGAATGTGATAGTAAAATAATTAGGGCTGTCAAACGATACATTTTTTTAATCGAGTTAATTACAGCTTAAAAATTAATAAATCGTAATTAATCACATTTCAAACTATTGGCAAAATGATGCCATATTTTTCTGTAAATGGTTGTTTGAATGGAAAGATAAATGACAGCTTAGTGAACATATGAACTGTATTTGTTTGTTATAACAATACATCCATATAAAAGGGAATTAACATTATTAACATTCTGTCTTTCTGTTTAGACTCAGATAAAAACCATTGTTTGTTACAGATGAGGGACATTTCAAAACAGTCTGAAGCAGAATGTCATTAAATCTGTTTGATTTGCTCACACCATTACTTTTTTGGCACAACTAACATGAACTGATGGTCGAAAGGAAATTTAGGTCCCTCAGCTTTAATTTAGCGAGTGCGCTTCGGGAGAAGACACGGAGGAGACTGAGGCTCCTCCAGCTTCAGCGCTGTACATATTTTGTGCATCGGTTATGCAAAGACACGTACGCACACTAGAGAATAGTTCTGTAATAGTTCTGTGCGTGGTCTTGGATGTGATCCCATTACGCAGCGCCGTTCGCCGTGATCACAGCCGCTGGAAGTGGGAACGGTCCAGAGCAATGTGGCGCCCGCAGCTCATCATGCAGAGTTCATACAGGAAACAACAAGTGCCCCGCGGTCACGCGTGTGTTCTTTCAAAACTTGAATTCCCAGAGGGCTCTGCTCTGTCCCCATCTTACACACACATGTGTCCGCGGCATTCTGAGTGTTATTATGGGACGCATGGGCACGCGTCAAATGCGTTCATTTTTTTAACGCGATTAATGAAAAATAATTAATTAACGTGCGTTAACGCGATAATTTCGACAGCCCTAAAAATAATCTGTTCTGGTTCAATCCAAATATCAAGAAACTGAAGCCGGAGCAAGAGGAATGTTTAGTAAATGTTATTGAAGCAAAGATGTTGTGGATCTACTCCCGCACGGGCGTAGGCTAAATGCTAAAGCTAGGCTAAATGCTAAAGCTAGGCTAAATACTAAATGCCTCACTCACTCAGGTTCATTACATAAGTCACGGTGAACTCAGATCCAATGGTTTCAATCTGCAAAAGGAGTTAACCCCTCCCACCTGTTAACGGAGTCAATGTGGCAAATCCAGACCTTAGTACCAAATGAATTTAGTACAATAGTATGGTAAGACCAGGAGACAGCCAAAATAGAAACTTGCACAAAACCTTCTCCATGTTTCCTTGTTTCATTGTATCAAAATCACCCCAAAAGAACACTTATAGGACAC